TTAAGGGATATTGGGTTCTCTGGGAGCCTGGACCTCATTTGCGAAGCGATTCCATATTCACAAGTATAGGCTGGGCCCTTCGGGTTCGGTCTCGAGGTGGAGTGCTGTTAGCTTATGGACTGGATCACTGGTTGTTGGCACTCGGGCCCCTAAAAAACAACGGAACCACGAAAGCTGCAGATATAAACTTGTTTCATGCAGAGTCATCTGAAGATTTCTGCAGGGTGCCATGTTATGCACATCGCGGGGTTGCGGGGAACCTTGAGCCTGATCCACATGCTGGGATTTCACTTAAGTTTATGGTTTAGGGTTTAGGGTCATGGCGTACTGGCGCACACCAAGTCCTCAAGAGCCGGGGTTTACACAAGCCTGACTGTCCAAGGAATGCGTCGATGTCGGTAAATTCGGGCTATGTAGCGGCTTAAACAATTACCAATACTATTTTTGATTTTCGGCTTCCTTATTTCAACTCAGGTGAAAAATACCCAATTCTAATTGTTAAGCCCCTTTGTTAGTGAAACATCTCCAGGTGGAGCTGGATGTGATCTCTTACAACTCGGCACTCAGCACATGTGGGAAGGCCCCGCCAGTGCAACTCACTGCCATTCTCGTCTGCGTCGCTGCACGGAGTGTTTCGATGCCCTCTAGCCTGCCATCATACCGTGGCCAGCATCCGACGGCCGCAATACCAATGAAGACACATCGTCGAAAAAATACGCATAGAGTAGGTTGCATATCGTTTCAGGGCAGCGGTTATATGAATGTAGCTGATGCAAGGGGTTCTTTGTTTAAACTTAGGATAAGGGCCTCGAGAATTCCAAGAGGGTTTTGTGGTACATGAGTGCTATGGTAACCACAGTGGCAAGTGCAGTGCGAGGTGAAGCTTTGTACCAGCGGCAAGTAACCACCGCCAATCTTCCTCAGACGTACATATCCTAGACCGAGAAATCAGAGGCAGAACTCAATATCAAACCTAGTTACTGACTTCTGCATGAAGCCATCAAGAAGACCTCAAACCCTTGAATTCCAAACCCCCCATCAGCCTTCCAGCAACGTCATGCATTATCCACTACTGCAATACTTGTACGATGCTCCCGGTATTCCAAGATTCTGTCCATCAGCAGCATGTCGCCTTGCTCCGTTTGCAAAGATCTGAAGTAGGTACTACCAACGTTCTGAAACAAACCTTCTGCAACAAACCCTAAACCCCTTATGTATCCCCGTATTATGGACACCTTTAACCTATGAGCCCCAGAATCAAATGCTTAAACCACAGCAACAGCACACACACACAC